GCTCTATGAATGACTGCACATTTTATAAAATTAATAACGGTCTTCTTAAAACCTTAAGCTTTTGTCAATTTCCGTATCCACTCAGCCCAAACACTGCAGGAGGTGAGAGGTCATGACTCATTCAGTTCTGATTGCTCATCTATTAACTTTTGCCCTCCACACCTTCTTCACACCAACCAGTTTCTCATGAATCATTCTGATTAAAAAACTGATTAACTCTAGAAGGGTAGTTCACCCCAAAATTAAAATTGTGTCATCTGTAACTCACCCTCATGTCATCCCAAATCTGTATGACCTTCTTTCTTTGGTGGAACGCAAAAGAAAATAATTAGAACAATGTCTCCATGTGTGTCCAAACAATGAAAATCCAGTGTTGTTTGCACCTCATTGTTCTTCGAAATATCGTCTTCAGTGATCCGCAAGAAAGGAAAATGTATAATTCAGATAGACATAAGAGTGAGTAAATGATGACAGAATAAAAATTTTGAATCAAACGCTATTTACAATGGTTAGAATCAAAACCCTTTCTGTCTGAACGATTTCATAGTTTGATCTTATGTCTTGTTTTAGGTTCTGGAGTTAGTCGAGTCAACTGTATCAGATGAGCGTGTGAAGGTAGAGCTAGTCGATGGATTCGACCCGCTGCCCATCAGCTCCTACGATGAGCAGGTGTTTGGCTTCCAGATCATAAAGAAAACGGTGAAGAGCAATGTTTCCTCAGCTCACGGTGGCCCCTGGTAAGACAAGTGATGCATTTCTGCTGAAGCACCCCTTACATACATCATTGACTTATGAAGAGCCACTTCTAGCTGATCTATGATTTCCACTCACAGGTGTCTGTGTTGGCAACACTGACAGCCGTCACTACAAGTATATCACGCAAGATATATATCGCTTTGCTCCGTCATGGTTCAAACCAGGTGATCCTCAGAGTTAAGACACAGGAGAAATGCTCTTTGTAATACAGTGGAGTATCCTAGCTTGAAATGTCAAGTTTTTATATGATAAAACATTCATGTTCCTCCTCTAGATTTCACGGTGTGAACGAGAGAATCTCCATTCAGAACTATGAAGAGATCGTGCTGTTTTACTCCCAGCTCATCCAGAATAATGACATCAGGAAGTTGCCGCCACCTCACAGTATACTCTTAAAAATAAAGGTGCTTCAAAAGGTTCTTCAAGCGATGCTATAGAAGAACCATTTTTGGTTCCACAAAGAACCATTCAGTCAAAAGTTCTTTAAAGAACCATCTCTTGCTTACCTTTTTATTATCTGAAGAACCTTCTTTCACCACAAAGAACCTTTTATGAAACAGAAAGGTTCTTCAGATGTTAAAGGTTCTTTATGGAACCATTTAGACAAAAAGGTTATGTGCTGAAGTCATTCAAAGCAAGGGCCTCTACACTTCCTACTCTATTTTTGACTGCTTTAACCTTCAGAAATTTTAGTTGTAATCTTTCTTTGTGCTACAATCATTGCTGTTCTCTAATTCTGATCACTGTGTTTTCCACAAAATAAAGTTTTTTTTTGTTAAAGTGTCTTGGTTATTTTCTAAAACACTGTTCTACTAGCATGGTATAGCCAGAACTAAAATTCCTTCAAATTTTGAACGATGGAGATTACATTACTTATGAAAAAAATCAAGTGTTCATAAATTCTCTCATTTTGATCTCCACTGTATATATTCACCATATTATTAATTAATTGCAACATGTAAGCACCTAAAACCCTTGTCGTAGTATTATCAGTGTACCTTTCATATGCAGGGTGTTGGAGTGAAAACCTGACACAAATGCTTTTTGTGAGGACCACGATGTCCGTCACTGTTTAACTCAGGTGTAAAGGTGGGCCTCTCTTTTTTGTTGTAGCTCACAAAGTAGCATGAATGGAGATCTGATTATTTCTCTTTCTCTGACAGATTAACATAATCCCGTCATGCTGAAGCTTTTGTCAATTTCCGTATCCACTCAGCCCAAACACTGCAGGAGGTGAGAGGTCATGACTCATTCAGTTCTGATTGCTCATCTATTAACTTTTGCCCTCCACACCTACTTCACACCAACCAGTTTCTCATGAATCATTCTGATTAAAAAACTGATTAACTCTAGAAGGGTAGTTCACCCCAAAATTAAAATTGTGTCATCTGTAACACCCTCATGTCATCCCAAATCTGTATGACCTTCTTTCTTTGGTGGAACGCAAAAGAAAATAATTAGAACAATGTCTCCATGTGTGTCCAAACAATGAAAATCCAGTGTTGTTTGCACCTCATTGTTCTTCGAAATATCGTCTTCAGTGATCCGCAAGAAAGGAAAATGTATAATTCAGATAGACATAAGAGTGAGTAAATGATGACAGAATTTAAATTTTTGGGTGGGCAAAAATTTTGAATCAAACGCTATTTACAATGGTTAGAATCAAAACCCTTTCTGTCTGAACGATTTCATAGTTTGATCTTATGTCTTGTTTTAGGTTCTGGAGTTAGTCGAGTCAACTGTATCAGATGAGCGTGTGAAGGTAGAGCTAGTCGATGGATTCGACCCGCTGCCCATCAGCTCCTACGATGAGCAGGTGTTTGGCTTCCAGATCATAAAGAAAACGGTGAAGAGCAATGTTTCCTCAGCTCACGGTGGCCCCTGGTAAGACAAGTGATGCATTTCTGCTGAAGCACCCCTTACATACATCATTGACTTATGAAGAGCCACTTCTAGCTGATCTATGATTTCCACTCACAGGTGTCTGTGTTGGCAACACTGACAGCCGTCACTACAAGTATATCACGCAAGATATATATCGCTTTGCTCCGTCATGGTTCAAACCAGGTGATCCTCAGAGTTAAGACACAGGAGAAATGCTCTTTGTAATACAGTGGAGTATCCTAGCTTGAAATGTCAAGTTTTTATATGATAAAACATTCATGTTCCTCCTCTAGATTTCACGGTGTGAACGAGAGAATCTCCATTCAGAACTATGAAGAGATCGTGCTGTTTTACTCCCAGCTCATCCAGAATAATGACATCAGGAAGTTGCCGCCACCTCACAGTATACTCTTAAAAATAAAGGTGCTTCAAAAGGTTCTTCAAGCGATGCTATAGAAGAACCATTTTTGGTTCCACAAAGAACCATTCAGTCAAAAGTTCTTTAAAGAACCATCTCTTGCTTACCTTTTTATTATCTGAAGAACCTTCTTTCACCACAAAGAACCTTTTATGAAACAGAAAGGTTCTTCAGATGTTAAAGGTTCTTTATGGAACCATTTAGACAAAAAGGTTCTTCTATGGCATCGCGAAGCACCTTTATTTTTAAGAGTGTAGCCAGCATGAGCTGTAAATGGTGGGATGTTACTTACACTGATGAAGACATGACTAAACTAGTTAACTCTGGTTAAGTCTGCTTCAAAACGCATAATATCTATGACATTACATTGTCAGACATGCTGCTTTGGTGTTTTGGACTAACTTTCTGAGAGATTCATCTCAAACACCCTGAGCTCTACATGGAGCTATTCTATCAAATGCTCTTTCTGTAGTTATCTTGCTAGTGTTTCCATTCATTCAGATTTTATGAAGGTTTAGGTTAGCGCTGTGGTACATTTCCAAAGCTTGCATTATGGGCCAACAGATTAATAATTAGATACTGTGTTAAACTGAAGTGATTTACTATGGCTGATTATGTCTGGCTCCATTAAACATTTACCTCTAGATATCAGATGCCTCTAGATCACAAAGCTGTAGCTCAACACAAAGGTATTGTTATTGGTTGTTTGAAATGTTACTTTGAATCCTTAGTTATTTTTTGGCACTGATATGGTCTGTGCTGAGACTGAAAATTACTGTAAATGTTAAATTAAATAATTTAATTAAAATGCATTCATTTGAAATTAAGAAAGTTGAAATTAATAAATTGTTTAATACGAACATAGATGTGTGTTCTGTCTTTTTTATAATAAATATTCAAATGTAGAAAAAATAAATTTTATCTAAAAATATGTTTAGAAATTAACCATGTCACAAGGATACCAAATGCAATCCCAATCTAAATGTAAAAAATGCAGACAATTAATTCTTAATCAGGTTAGTTTTATTCAGACATATTAGACAGGCTGTGCTCCTTTCTTAAGACTTTCTTAAGCATATTATTTTAAGAAAGTAGTATTATATCATTGACTGTCTGTTAAATTTAAAGACATGTACACTATACTTAAAGGTAAAGTGTAAAAATTTTGCACCACTACTGGCCGCAAATAGTAATTAAAAAATACTGCCAAAATTCCACAGGATATCTTTGCAGGAGTGGAACAGTGACAACACAAGGTTAATTCTTAGGCCAGTCACAGCACAAGCAGTCAGGATTGTAGACGGTGTTTGTAGGGCAGTTCTTTACAAAGGTCCTGCCATTAGAACACTGAATGAAGGTCGTCGGGTCATATGTGTTTACATATAACCCGTCTGGTTTGCCTAGACAGAACTCTGACGGAGCTGTCGGGACAGCATGAGGTCTTGTGGATTGAAATACGGCAGTGGATGCTGTTGTTGTGGTCTTACCAGGCTCATGTGTTGTATTTGGGGAGATAGGTTGAATATCTGGAGGAGAAAATTTGAATTTGATATTTTATCTTAGTTTCTATTAATCTAGGATAATGTATAGTCAGTCAGTCATTAATCACAAAATAAACTGTGACGAGGTGACACAGAACTGACTGTAGATGATCTATTCTTTATATAATTTTAAAAACTACTTAAGGCAGTCGCTCTATTAATTATAATAATTTATCAGATATAAATGGAAGCTCATTTCTGCAACATTAAAAAAAAAATCATGCTTTGGTAAATCATAATTATGACATTACAGGTCAAAATAATGGGATATAAAGTAATAATTATGAGATATGTATACAGTTTTTTATATGAAGTAGTTTTTTTATAGACTTTTCATGTCATAAATATGATTTACCAAATATTTTTTCTCTTCTGAAACAAAAATGGGCTTGATTAAGATAAGAGACATACCATTATTAAGAAGTGTATGGAGATGTCCAATGAGAGGGTATGTGCCCTGCCCACAGAACTGTCCTGTAAAATCATCAAGATCCAGAGTCCAGACGAAAGCTCCTCCAAACTTGTTCTCCTTTAGATAGTTCACCTGAAGCAGACCAGATCTAGTTATTCTGAACATGAGAGTTGCATTACATTTTATGTAACTTTTATGACGCATTTACTTTAGTCTCAAAACTTTCTTTGGTGTCAAATCCCACCCAGTCCTGTCCCTTGGATGCATAAGGAACTTTCTGATCATCAATCCATTGCACGGTGGTTCCTTGAAGGAAAGTACAGACCTGATGGGAAAATATTTGTCCATAACTCTTCTGATTTTATTTTGTACAATCAAATAACATACTATAATGTAAGTGCATGTGTTTAGGTTGTGGTAAGACCTCATAATAGGACCAGAATCCGGGCTCTCTGGTATATTTTCCAGCTGATCCAGGACCACTAGCTGAAGCTCCAACTCCACTGGCTGCAGACGCCAAGTGAAATGTTCTTCCATATGTTGCAAACCCCATCCTAAGCTTCTCCACAGGAGCACCCTGATCTCTCCAGTATCTCATTGCAAAATCCTGCAGTGTCATGACAAATCACTTATTTCCTGTTGCATGGTTCCAGCTTCTTGTTATTTACAATGACTCATACTATCATTCACAATCATTTATGATATGCACGATGTTATATTTCTGAAGCTAAGAGTACAGTTGGATATAAGGCCTTCTTACAGTATTGAAGTAGATGTTGTCTCCTGTGTCTCCAGAGCCACGGTACAGAGGACTGTTGTGCCCAGTGACACTTTCCCATGAGCCATGGAAGTCATAGGTCATCACATTAATGAAGTCCAAACACCTGCATTACCAGAAGGTAAACGCAAATTCAGAGCCATCAGTTCAGACTCAAGACACTCAACCAAATAAAATCATTAAATATTAATTCGATTGATATTTTAAGGTATGCCGTCCAAAACACATTCGTATTTCATGATTCAAAGTGAACAAAAACTCTTCAGAAGACATACTTGGCAATTTCTGCAATTTCATAACCAGCATCAATGGTTCCTTTACCAGCAGCCACTGCAGCAGTGAGCATGAGTCTGGGGCGTCCAGTGGCAGCACTCTCTGCCTCATAAGCTTCCAAGATCTCCTGTTATAGTCACAGGTTTGCAGTGGATTAAAATCTTTTTATTTTTTATTATTATTATATAAATACTGCAGTACCTTACAGAGCAGAGTGAACCTTTGCTTGTCTTCTGGAGGACTTCCACGAGAACCCGGATACTCCCAGTCCAGATCTAGACCATCAAAGCCATGTTTCCTCAGAAATGTGATGGAGGACTGAATAAACGTCTGCCTGTTTGCTGATGTGGACACCATGATAGTAAACCTGAAGTCATGGCGAGAAGTTTCATGAAAATTAAATAAAGTTATGTTTATCATACATCCCTCAAAATTCAGTTTTTTGAGCAGCATTCTTACTGAGCTGTGCCAAAGTTCCATCCTCCGACAGCCAAGAGAGTTTTCAAGTTGGGATTTCTGTGAAGTCAAATATTTGAATCATTATTTTCTGTATTGCTCTCTGACAAATCATCATTATTCAAAACTGCATTACATAATGCATTCTATTTTCATTCACAAACAAAACATCAGATATATACTTTTCCTTTAGTCCATTGAAAGATTTGTAGAGAGTGTCATCATTCCATTCGTACTTGATCAACTCATTCGCCTGATTAATGACGGAAAAAGCATAAATTAAATGAGTGCACAGATGTGGATCCACATTTTCTGGCAGGTACTTGCCAACGTCAGGTCTGTACTGAGACCAGTTTGTGAAGTAGCATGCGAGTTGGGAGGCCCATCCTGAAATAAATAAATAAAATATAAAATATAATTATTCATTATAATAAATATTAATAGTAATGCATAATAATAAAAGCAATTATTATTATTTATCATTCCCACAATCCTAATAAGAAAAGCGGTTTGCAGAATGAATAAATTATTATTATTAGAATTATTATTATTAGGAATGAATTAGGAATGAAACAACAAATTAAAAGAAAAAATTACCAAAGTGACACAATGCCAGGGAAAAGCCTGAAAGAAGGTAAAACCAAATGTTAACATAAAACACTAAGGCAATGAAGCTCTTAAAAATTCATTCTGTAATATCAACAATCACTTACCAGCTAGAAAAATGAGTTTGGTCATCATAATGTGATGGTTGAATCAGTCAAGAAACTCTGTCTGCTACTGCTGTATCAAAGACAGGAGTTATCGTTTATATAACACACAGACCTCACTCCTACATAATTCCAATGATGACTAACCAAAACACACAAGAACTGAATTTCCCTGAAACAGCTGCTCACTGTCATCTGCCCTGGATATTGGCACACATGGTTAGGTAATCAACTGTTGCATTATAACAGTCTTTTGTAATTGTAATAGATTTTTTGTGTTCCTCAGTGTTGAGGCTGCTCCGAGAACAGTTGAAGTTAAAATTAAAGTTACAGTGGAAGTGAGACTAACTGAAAATGCTAGGGGGAAAAATCTGGGTACTAGTAACGTCATGAAAAGGAGAAAGCGGCCAGAAGAACTGCTTAATTAGTCTATCAAAACGTTCTTTTGCAAGACAGGTTAGTGCACTGTAAGGATGTCATTGTGATTTGTGATGGGAATGCCAACCGGCTTATAATCTCTCTCTCTAATAGCTGCAGTAAAAACTGCTATTAACGGCTCAAGCCTCCATTCCTAGGTCTAAAATTACGTTTTGGAATTAGCA